GTATCTTTTAACTCACCTTCAACTGAAGTAAAAACATCCCAAATAAGGTCAATTTTCATGTTTTTATTAATAACCCTGAGTTGAAGGTGACTTTCTCAGCTTACTCCTGTTATTTGCTGCAAATACTGACTGAAGTAATGTAGCAAACACACCACTGAAACTCTCAAGGGAGGAGACAATACTTAGCAATCGCGGAAAAACTGTTCCCAATTACGATGTTCCCTACAAACGCATCTCTTTCAAATAGTCAAAAAATAGCTGCAAACTTCAATTACCTATGTTTACAATGCTTATAATTCTCTTTAATATTTGAAATAGGATATAATATGAAATAATAGCAGCTCTTCTCCAATGAGTACAATCAAAAACAAAGAAAAAAATAAGCTCAAGTGGAAACAAGACTAAAGACAGAAGGAAGAAACTTTCCTATTTCAACAATTGAACTACATTACTTAAAAGTGAACCCTACAAGGGAAGAAGTCATACAAACACATCTTTTACAGACATCAATTGGTTAAGAGTCATTTACTTATAAAGCAGAATACTTCATAAATTATGCTCCCCCAACAGATAAATTACAGGTGCAACAGTTGAGAATATGACATTTAATAAATGAAACTCAATAAGGCCAATCGGCCTTTTAAGTCTCTTATAAATTAAATATTTACTGAAATAGAATGACTAAAGCCCTGTATTGCAAGGGTGATACATAAGTATATGCTGAAACTTACCCTGAGTCTTCCTACTAACAGCATATTAACTATCCTAATTTTAAGGCGCCATGACAGATTGAGAAAGTAATGTAGTATAAAACAAAAGACAATTGAGAACTATGGTGTCACATTATTACTTTGTATAGCCATCATCCTAGAGTTCTTGTTAAGGAAAAAAACAGTACAATGGTATTTTTGTTTTAATTTACTTTATAGAGGCATTAAATGTCCCTATACAATTATTTTTTGTTAAAATAGTTTTCTAGATTAATGATGGTCAATGAGGGTTAAGAATCACTATTTTGGTCTTAATGATATAGTCAACCACTAAGAGAGCCTTACAGAGTCAGATCACCCAGACACCTTGTGTTAATCTTCTATTCTGAAGAGGCATTTATGCCATTTCATCAAACAGATGGTACTCAAAAGTCCATCAGGAGTGTGCAGCTGAAAGTAATACTGGATATGTAGAAAAAAGGAAGTCTGAATTTTTTGCCAATTGTACAAAGGGTGGATTCAGGTGGTGAGCTGAAATGGTTTCTTTATTGCCTATTTGTTTTTGAATTAGGATAATAAGACTTTTCTTTCATATTCTGCAACTTGTGCTTATCAACATGTGACAATCAAGTGATAACTTCATATGCTTAATTTAAAATGCCTATGTATGCACAATACCACCTAATACATAGGACCCGAAACTTTTAGAAACCCGTGTCATTCATGTATTCCTTTATTGTATATTTATTGAGAAAAAAATGATACTGTGTTCACTGGGTACTGTTTTCGGTACTGGAAATATAGTAGTGAACAAAAAGAAACAAAAGTCTCTACCTTCAGAGAGCTGCTTCTCCTGTGGGGATTTCTGAATAAGAACCAGATGGAGCTTTATTTACTTTCCTTTATATACCTTTACTCATCATAAATAATTTGAAACTGCTACAGAGATAAGCATATACAACAGAAAACAATTAATATAGCTATGAAAAAAATAAAACTAAATAAAGAGTGATATGATAACCTTGGTGAACTTTATTTTTCCCTTGAATTTTTACGATGAAGGAAACTTGGTGAATTTTTAAGAAATCCAGATAAAATAGCCTGGAAGGTGATTGGAATAATTCAAAGGTAAAATAAACTGCAACTGATATTAAATAAAATTAAAAGTTGCAGTAAATTCAAAAACATACAAATCAAAGCCCCTTAAAACACTGATTTTTAAAAATCCAGAGTTGTTCCCCAGAATGTCTGTAAAGTTCTTAAAAAATTAAATTCTGGGACCCATCTCAGATCTTCTCAATTATAATCCATGTGGGGGTCTAAACATATGTATTTTGTTTCAGTATAGGACACGTTATTTTATTATAAAATTGAACCCAAGATGATGATAACTTAAACTACATCTTGATATACTTTAAAAAATAGATTTAGGGGGTACGATGCATCTTTGTTACATGGACATACTGCATAGTGCTGAAGTCTGGGCTTTCAGCGTAAACACCACCTGAATAGCGTACATTGTACCCAACAGGTAGTTTCTCATCCCTCACTCCCTTCCCATCCTTCCACCTTTTAACACACCAATCAAACATACGTATTTTTTAAAAGTTACAGTTCATTTAAAAACCACTGTCTGAAGGGTGGGATTTGATAGATGGCAGAGTGAGGAGCTAGGCAAATCTGCTTCCTCTCTAAAAACTTAACGGTAAAATATTGTCAGAACCCAGAGTTTTGGGACCCCGGTAATCAATCAGCATTAAGCAGTAACTTGAGAAATATTTATTCATGAACCACTGTTGCATGTGGGGTAGGAAATCTGTAAGAGTTATATGTATAAAAATATTGATAAATTTCTAAAGTGACTTATCTTAAATTTTATGATTATTTCTAGATATATAATACACATTAGCATCAAAAATGTTTATTAAAAACCTATTCAGGGATTGTGATGCTTCCATAATTAACACAGCATTTGCAAACACTTGCACATTTTTAAAGTGCTATTTACAGAGCTGATTTTCTTAAATAGGGAAGATATTGCATTTGAAACCTTATTTACAAGAGCTGCCAGGACACTTTATTTCAACATATGCTATTGTAGTCCAACTTTATGTCATAAAATATTCACAAACATAAAACTACAAGGATCATAATTAACTAGATTATACTGCACATGGAAAATCAGAGTATTAACATCACAGCCCTTGATTTTTTTATTTTTTAACCAACATTATTTAGTGATTACCATGTGCCAAACATTGTTAATTCCTGTACACGTATCAATTCATTTAATCCTCGAGACGCTCCTAAAATGGAGCTACTATTATCATGTCTGTTTTAAAAGATGAGGAAACTGAGAGGTAGCAAGAGGTTGAGTAACTTGCCCTAAGGCACTAAGAGGCAGTGAGAGACTAACTTGCCTATGGGTAATGGCATATAGCCTGGATTCAAATTAGCTGGCTCCCAAGCCTCATGCTCTTACCTACTCTGCTGTGTTGCCAGAGCTTGTAAACCTATGATCCTGTGTTGTGAGGCAAAATACCCAGAGGGAAATGAAGGCAGTTATTAAAGAAAAGAACACATCTTATTTTCTTTTAAATAGGTGCATACATATATACACAAATACGGGTCACACTCACATTCTGGCACAGTCCTCATATACACACAAAACCAAAAGAAGAAGATCACCAGAATACTAGGGATTTCAAGTTAAGCCTTTAGTGTTTTAGATTAAATTTCTAGTGCCTTACCTTAAAAACACAAAAATGAATCATCACAAATGCTGTATCATGGGCAAATGTATTGCATATATAATGTCAATCATAGGCAATACCAAAATATGTTGTTATTACATTAGCTATAATATTAGTATAACATGTCTAGTATACATATAGCCTTTATTTACCTGTTTGAATTATTTTATTTCTAATTTAAGGGGTCCCTCTTCAATCTTAAATAAACAGACAGCAATTTCATCTTCCAGAAGATTTGTTACCTAAATCAGTTTAGTCCCATGGTGTACCTGGCCTATAATATCATGCACTCCTGCGTTTCTCACCAAGTACCTTTGTTCCATCTACAGTGACGTTTGTCTTATTTTTCTGCAGATTTAAAGGTTTCATACATGAATTTGTTATTTTACCTGTTAGTGCTGAGATATTATTTTTCGAAAGAAGTTTTTATATCAACCAAACATGTTTTATATGGCTGAGATGTTCACGTCAGGACTCTTAAGACATCCTCACACATTTATCAAAAAATTATGATAGAGCTCCACTGAACAATGAAAATGCCAAGAGACATGAAATGGGATGAAATACAGGACTTCAGAAACCTCTCGTTAGTGAGAAAACACAGAGGCATAGAACGAGCACAAGCAAACGTCAATGTCGCCAATGAAAGACTGCAGCAGTTAAAAGAAAACTGGTAGCTAATGGCAGGCTAGATAAGAAGCAGCCCTCTCCAGTGAATCACATGACATTCCTTTCTGGGAACCCAGAGACTGTCCCACGCTTCCTAGTGTGCTTCTGAGCTAGGCTTTGCAGCAAAGAGACAATTTCGTTTAACTTTTTAATTAACGTGTGTCCTTGCTGATAGACACTGTGAATGAAGTACTTTTTCCTTCCCATTATAGCTTAGAGTTTAGATTTAATTACTGTGGAAATGAATCAAGAAACGTGACTTCGGGCATAGCATTTTAAATGTCGGCAGAGTAACCATATTAATTCTCTATTTTAAAGTATCAGTGTCATCCCATCTTTATGATGAGTGATGTGAAAATAACTTTAGAAAGGAGGTTACTGACCCAGAGACTCCGTGGGCCATGGGAATATCACCTAGTAGTTGTAATTTGGAAAGGTTTTGTTTGGATAATGAGTTAGTTTAATTTTGCGAGTACTCATAAATACTTATGCATCATGAAAATTTGTCTTACAGTGTTATATATGACATTTTCAGGGCCCCTTAACTTCAGCCAATCAGCTAACAAAATATATAATATCATATATAATCATGCATGTCATCAAATGTGTACACAGTCACATTTTCTGAAAACGAAAAGTTTAGAAAAGTAGCCTAAAATGAGTAGGGGAATACAGATAGAGATAAAAATATTATAGAGGTAGAGAAAATTATCTCTCTCTCATGTCATAAGCTATAAGCCATGAAAATACAGTAAAGTACTGAAATATTTAGTCCTTCAATAAAATATGTATTTTGAAAAAAAAAAAAAAACAACCCAAAATGACCTTAGATCAAAAAAAAAAAAAACTTGAAAAACATGTGAGATACCTTCTCATGCAATCCAGCGCTCGGATAAAGAAGTCCTTGTGTAACTGGTGCTCATCTCTCAAGATTGAGCATTGTTCAAGTGTCACTGACATCGATGTCCTGTCTTTGGCGCTTTTACAACACGTGAAACGAATACCATTTAGTTTGCGGCAAATCTGTAACATACGTAAAACGAATGTTTACTGTACATTTGTAATACGGTAAAGTGTTGGCCTCCTCCAAACACTTCTAGTCTAAACACATCAAATATAAATTTGGGTTTCTGTTAATTTATGGTAGTCAATTGGTTCAATCGGTCTTATCAGATGTAAAGGCATTACCTTTTCATTTCAAAAGCCAGTGCAATGGACCTAATTTATTTAATTATTTGTACATGAAGCGTGGAACCATTGAAGCCATATAAGATGTGAAATACCCAGCAGAGGACGCAGCACACTACCCAACGGGGTACCTGGTCTGCAGTGTATGACAATGCTAAACTAATTCCTGCTCAGAAACAACACCTTCATTGTAAAGAGGAAAACACAAACAAACCAACCAAACAAACAAACAAACAAAATCTATATTCCCTGGATTAAACAGTTGATTCCAATCATATATAGTTAATATTCTCTTATTTTACATTTAAGAAACATTTGCTAGTCTTGGTTTTATGTTATGAGATTTTAAACATTCTCATGGTGCCTCACAACAGACAAGGGAACTACTCATCAGTACTAAAAAGCAGAATACTAGAAATGGCCACTGTTTATTGCACATTGTGCTCTAGGGTACAACACTAAGAAATTTCATATACAGTTGCACTTTTTAATAAACTTCACAGGGGCTGGGCACAGCGGCTTATGCCTGTAATCCTAACACTTTGGGAGGCCAAGGCAGGAGGATCATTTGAGCTCAGGAGTTTGAGACAAGCCTGGGCAACATAACAAAGACTCCTCTCTATCAAAAATAATAATAATAAAATTAGCTGGGCATGGTGATGCATGCTTGTAGTCCCAGCTACTTGGGAGTCTGAGGTGGGAGGATTACTTGAGCCTATGATCATGCCACTGCATTGCAGCCTGGGCAACAGAATGAGACCCTGTCTCAAAAAACACCTCCCAAATTAAAAATAAAAATAAGTAAATAAATAAACTTCACAGGAACTCTAGAGGAAGGTATAATTATTTTCTTTTTATAGATGAGGAAACTGAGGTTTAGATGGGTTAAGTAACTTGCACATAACAGAGCAGAACCAGGATTCAAACAGAACTCTACTTAAGTTCAATAATCAAGTCTTTTAACTTCTGTTATGTTCTGTTTTCCTCTACAGTTCTTTCTTTTTGTTATTCTGATTTAAGTCAGAGAAAAATCACTGAGCATCAATACTCTCTTGTCTCATTGCCTTATGGTTAATAGGGAAATCATTCCATTTGTTTCTCTTCCATACCATGGCAGGGTTCTAATATGAAATACTAATAATCAACTTTGGCATTACAATGCTAATCAGTGTGCATTTAAAATAGATCTAATGTGATACAACAAAGGTCTTCTTTATTATCTGTCATCAAGCAGTCTTTAAAAGTTGTCTGCTTTTAAAAGAAGGTAAAATAATACAGCTAATCTAGAACTTATTACCATGTTTTAATTGTGATTCTGATACTTAAACTTGAATTTATACATCACTATTAATTTAGACCTTTGGTACTTCTATTTCCAATATAAGTGACTAGAAAATGTGAGAGCATGATTTCTCCATGCAATCTTTTTTACATCTAGAAAATTCTAATCCTTTCAAATAAACAGTATTTCATTTTTTAAAATTCTTAACTATATTCATAATAATAAAATAGACCATAATGGCTATTTATGAGATACGATTTTTAAATGGAATTAATATTCCTTAAAAATTTTTGTTACTATCATATGTACTTGTCCTACTTAGAATATTTAACGTTCTAAATTTAAAGTCTATTGGAGGTAAGGGCAGTTGATTTCTGTATTTCTACAATACCCGAACTATTGATTTAACACACTTGATTGTCCTTTGTCCTCTTTAAATGTTCACTTTTACTATTTAAACTTAAAGAAGATAAAACCAAATAACTTTATTTTTATTTATTTATTTATTTATTTATTTTTGAGACAGAGTCTCGCTCTGTCATCAGACTGGAGTGCTGTGGCGTGATCTCGGCTCACTGCAACCTCCGACTCCCTGGTTCAAGCGATTCTCCTGCTTCAGCCTCCTGCATAGCTGGGATTACGGGCATGCGCCACCACGCCTAATTTTTGTATTTTAGTAGAGATGGAGTTTCACTATGTTGGTCAGGATGGTCTTGATCTCCTGACCTCATGATTTGCCTGCCTCCGTCTCCCAAAGTGCTGGGATTACAGGCATGAGTCACAACGCCCGGCCACTTTATATTTTTCAATTAGAATGTAAAACATTAACTAAAGCAGTATTTCATTAAATAGATTTTTAAAAGGAAAATAAAATAAAAAAAATATTGACAAAATATTTCTGGAAAATATCAAAAGGAATTTCTATATTTCTTTATTTTAAAAGTTTCATTAAGGTCCATGATTTACAAATAGAACATTGAAACTGAGGCATTAGCCAACAGAAATGCTACTAATCATTTATTCAGTGGTGAATTGTGAGTAAATCATATTTGGTCAGTATATACATTTCAAAAAAATTTTTAGAAATGTGTGGGATTTATAGGAAAACTTTTTCATACATTAAAATGGGAAATTGCATATATTAAAAGAAAATACACATTTGTGTTTATATGTGTGTATCCTTAATTTATCTATTTACATAACTTCACAATATGTACATAATGACACACTTATGTTTGTAAATCGTCAGATGGCACAAGTATCAAACTATCTTCATGCCGTCGTGTTTTCAGTAAAATAGAAAACACAATTTATGACCTGCCATTGTGAAATTTTTGTTAGAATTAACAACCAGAGTGGTCTTTGAAGACACAAAGAGCAGCCACACTATTAAAAACAACCTTCATGTAATACAGTATGGCGCTAAATGGAACCAGTGTAAATGAGCTGCCTGAAAGCAACATTTCATATTGTTCTTCCCTGGGGCTCCAAGAAAGCAGGAAGGGAAACTAAAGAAGTTTTCCTCTGCCTTTCTTTTGGTAAATTATTTCATATGGGCTCATGGTAAATTATCCATTCCTTTTTCCCAGAAGAAAGTAATAATACTGAATTATAATTGAAGCACTGGCAGTAGGGGAAAACTTTCTGTTTTAAATGCTATGACTAGAGAATGAATAGAGTATGCTAGAAGCGTGGTTAACCTGAGCTCCAAATTATAGGAATAATACTGCAGAACTGCAAACATGGCATTTATCATAAAGATCTTTAACATGTACCTTTCCTGATGGAAGAATGCATTCCTAATGAAAGGATGTTGGGGTCTGAATGTTTAACACAATTCATAAATTTCATGTGAGCTATGCCTCAATGGTTACCAGATAAGAGCCTTAAACATACAGGCATTTTTTTTCTAATTCTTGTAGAAACCTGTGGTGAGAACACAGGCAGATCTTTTACCCCAAAGGCACCATTAAATGAGAAAGAGCTACACAAAATATAGCTCATTACCCCAGATCAATCCATCAGTAATGAATTCTATGCCAATATCTAAATTAACAAACACATTTATAAGCTTGTTAACTGAACAATATGTCCAGGAGCCTTATTGAAGCTGTGCATCAGAGATCTGATAACCACATTCTGTTGAAACCATATGTCTCTAAAGCAGCAGTTCAAAATCCTGGGTGATATGGGCAATTGACATTGCAACATGCAACATCAAGAAATTCACAGACGCTCCCTCAGAGTGGAGAACACATCCAAGGTTGGTAAGAATAGCAAGTGAGCAAGATTTTTTCTTGAGTGTATCTTCTTTCATGTTATGTTCTAGTCTATGGATAGAACTACCAACAAGAGTAAAAATGCCTAATCCACGGAATAATAGAAGATGACAGCTGGTAACCCCAAGTGCAGAGGTTGGACCCTGCACAATAGAGAACTGATAATATTTGCTGGTTATGACGTGGCAGGAAATAAGATTTGACATGAGAGTGCTTACCGTTGCAGCCAGCCACATAATTTCTACATTCTTTCTTTTTTTGGATTGGATATTTTGATGGAGATTTTCTAGTAATGCTTTTAAATCATTTTGTTCCTGAAAATGTGAAATATCTGAAGGAGGAAAAAAACAAAGGAGACAAATAAAATGAGACAGTGTTCACATTAAGCTGCCTATGGAGGTTTTTTCAATACATTTATTTGCAACCACAACTTTTCTTTTAGACAGGGTCTTGCTCTGCCTACCCAGGCTGGAGTGCCAGTGGGACCAAATCTCTGCTCCCTGCAGCCAAGCCTCAATCTCCCAGGCTCAAATGATCCTCCCACCTCAGTGCCCAAAGTAGCTGGGATTACAGGAGCATATAACCATACCCAGCTACTTTTTGTACTTTTTGTAGAGACAGAGTTTGGCCATGTCACCTAGGCTGGTCTCAAACTCCGGAGCTCAAACACACTGGCTGTCTTGGCCACCTGAAGTGCTAGGATTACCGGCGTGAGCCACTGCACCCAGCCTCAAACACAATTTTATAACAACAAATATCATTTGAAGCAGAGAGTATCTGAGGATAACCATACTTATTAATTTATCTGGTTTTATTCTTTACTTATAAATACGCTTAATTCTCTATTCTCTATTCTGTATAACTATGGTAATATCAAGTGGTCCTACAGTACTCTTTTACCAGCACTTTGGACAAAGATGACAACTTCTGTCTCACTTTAATGAAAGCATAAGACATAGATGTCATGAGATATAACTTTCCTTCTTTTTTTGCCATTGAGTAGCTAGTCTGAGTCAAGAGACTATATTAAATTGAACATCTCAGGGGTGGGAGAAATCTGAAAGTTCAAATAAAATACATGAAGTCAGTTGCTATACAGCAAGTTTCCTTGAACTCGGCACTATTAACTTCTTGAATCAGGTAATATTTTGCTGGGACGAAGACCATACTGTGCATTACAGGATTTTTCGCAGCATCCCTGGCCTCTACCATTCACGCGTCAGTAGTAGCTTTCCCAAGGTAACAGTAAAAACGGCCTTCAGACACTGCCAATGTTTCCTGACAGAAAAATATATCCTGCTTGAGAACCACTGCCAGAAAGCAGCACAGATATGATGGAAAGAGGAAAAACATGAGGTATAGTTCACAGTATGAGATAATTGAGTAGAAAGCAGGAAATTACACTGGTGGCTCAGATTTCTACATACTAACAACTAAAGCATGGGTAATAAATGGCATACACTTTATACTAAAAACAGAGACAATGTACATTATGACACAAACGTCCCCAAGACTTGGTGAGATGGGGTTCCAGATTACAGTGACAGAAACAAGAAGACTGTCTAAATGAATGGTTGGGTAAGTACTGTATAGTGTGAAAACACACTCTACTGTTGAATCCATAAACTGAGAGAGAAACTCCTGAGAGCTTTAACTAAGACTAAAAACAGGAGAAAATACAATGGACTACACCTACATTACCAAGTTTCACTGAAGAAATAGATGACATAGTCCTTTCAAGTTCACAAAAACTGACACAAATGAATTTTAGTAGTAATGAGGCTTTGTACTTTTTCAAATTTGTACCAGATGTTGCAGTTTAGCAAAACAATATTTCTGAATAGTTCTAGTTTGTGACTTTAGCTCCAGGGAAGAGAGGAAGTATCCCAGTGAACTATACTAGTGATTAAGAGCGGAAGTGGTTGGTAAGGTTGGAATTTCCATTGAAAAGAATCATATCTCATCTTGGATTTTATGATTACAGAATAGAGGAAGGTTGGGTACAATCCAGATAGGTTGAGGGAAGTGAGATTCAAAATCATCATATAAAATATATGCATGATTCCACTGAATTTGTTTCTAAAAGGGAAAGTTGTCAAAAGTCTAATCTTTACTATTTAACTACAGATAATTCTCATAAAAATGAGAAAGTTTGACTGAAGACATTGCATTGCGAGGTAGAAGCTTCTCTGATATACAGGAATTTTAACAGGACACAGCCCAAAGATAGCCTGAAGAGAAAGGGAAGGAGGCCATATATGGAATGCCTTGAAGGGAGTTATAAAATCAGACCAGGATTTGGTGGCTAATCAAAGAAGGTAAGGACAATAATGCTGTCTTTTAATTTATAATCATGGCATGCAAGAAATAAGAAGTTAAGTCCACCATCCCTGCTTTTAATGTTGATAAATGGCAACCAAAACAAACCCAGGGGAAGCCATAAATTAGAATTATAAGCAGCCATTAAAATTATGTGCAGGTATATCAGTGACATAGAAAGTGTCCTTGATATTGCTGAAAAGAAGAACTGGTCAGATTAATGAAAGAATGTATTTGTGTAACAATGTGTGTGTGTGTGTGTGTGTGTGTGTGCACGTGCACATGAATGCCTGTGTGTATGTTGGCTTCTCTTGGCATATGTATACAGGCAGAGTGAAACATTAGATATTAACAGTGGCCATCTTTAGGTGTGCAACTTAGTGTAATGTTTCAACTGCCTTTTCATATCATTTGAAATGAACATATATTGTTTTTAAATAATAAGATGATTTTAAGAGTAATGGGAAACAGAGAATGTGCATGAGAAAAGGAAAGAAATTAAATTCTTTTTTTTTTTTAAGATTCATGGTAGAACAGTTCATTATATCCTGAAGAACCTAAATTCTTATGATATAAAGACCTGAATTCAAAATGTCCACAGTCTAGTAGGGTGGGATGGATATTTAAACTATTATTAAATATAGGAAAGTATACTGCAGACTGTGACATCACTCAGTAAAGATTTGTGAAGCAAGGGAAGCACTGGACAATTCTATAAGAATTGGTGCACATGGGAGGGCATCTAGCAAAGATAATGCTTTGTGTCTACCAAGAGCATTTGAGGCTGAGGGGCAAATAGCAAAGGCACAAGGCATGAGCCAGTACTGCAGAAACAGAGAGTGTGCGGTTCACAATGTCCTTAGAGTGGATAGTCCTGGGGCAAGATTTATGAAGGAGAATCATGTTCTGCAATGCTGGGGAATCTGGGCTTCATCCTAGAAAATGCGGGCAACTGGTAAGTTTTAAACAAGGGCTTAACCCCTTCTGGAAAGCTCCTGAGTTTCTTTCTGAAGTCAGGCTTGTACAAATGGCTCTCAAATCATTTTGAAAGCAATACAGAATAAGAAGTTTCCTTTAACTCAAGATGAAGACATCACACATGTTCTGGAGAGCTGATGCATAACAATGCAATTTTAATCAGCAATACTTTATAATGTATTTGAAATTTGCTAACAGAGTGGATTGTAAATGTTCTCACCACACACACACACACACACACATATATACACACACACACACAAAATGATAACTATCTGAGGTGATGAAATAGTAATTAGTTTCACTATGGTAATTATTTAATAATGGATACGTGTAACACATGATCAAATTGTATGCCTTAGGTATACATAATCCTTAATTATAAAAAATACCTCAATTTACAAAAAAAAGCTTAATTTACATAATATCTCACAGCAGTCATACACACACACACCCCTCTGTAACAAAAATTTTATGAAATAATATTTACTTTTAGTGCATGCCTTGTACCTGAAATTTTCTATTTCATAATTTTTGAAAAATTGTAGTTCCAACACACCACATTTATTTAACATGTCATAGGATTAAGATAAACCATTTGGAAAGCCCTGATTTAGGGCAACCCTATGTCCAAAGTGACTGGGGCTGAAGTGACTTTTTCACAAAGTTCATAGTGAGAGGAGGAGTCAAGGCTAAAACTTTGTCTCTTAACTGTTGTACCCGTAATTTCTCCAAAATCTCTGCTGATGTTTTTACCATTGGTACCACTAAAACCAGCTCTGGTATTAACACAATAGGCCAAATTCTTCAGAATGCTGAGACTCCAGAACAGAGCATGATTTATCAAAATAATTTTGTTTCATTGTAGACATGGAAATGTTTTAATAAGCCATTTTAAACAGACTATAGGGATCCTAAATGTAAATCAAGCACTTGGCCATCGTTTCCCCATTCTCACCTCATAAAGAGAGTGTGTTAGAATCGACAGGCATGATGTCTCATGGAAATTTCACTCCCTCTCCCATGGTGTGCTTCTTACAAGAAAGTAATTTTGATGTTTTTTTTTCCGTTTGTTTTTTGTTTTTTATTTTTACATTTTTAGGCCACTATTTCTATTTCTATAGTGACAAAACTTGCTTTATTCAGAGCACACCTCTGTCAACCTAATACTTTGGTTGCTGCCATTTTATTTTTTTTCCAACCCAATAAAAATTGCAGACCACAGAAATTCAAGTCTGGTTCAGGAAAGCAGTACAATTAATAATAGCCAGTTTGTTAATAGGTGAGATTTCAAGATGTCGTGATAGATCCTGATGTATCAACTGAAAATTGTGGTGTACACAGAACGTGAATTGGTTTTAGGCTTAGACTGTGTCTCCTCAAATGTAGATATAGCCAAAAAGTCTTGATTTTGCTACTCATTCCTGCAAATTTAGACAGCACAGCTGAGTCTCTATGCATATGTCCATAATAGTATTCTTTTTTTTTTGGAATGGAGTTTAAGAAAGTATTCAGAGATAAAAGTTACAAGAATGTTTACTGCATTACTGTTTATAATTTTAAATAGCAAAAAAGCTTTAAAATGTTCATAAAGAGTAAGAATAAACCAATATATTAATGCAAAGTAATATAAATAAAAAGGATACACAAATGCCATATGTGTCAACATGGATATATCACAAAAACGATATTGAGCAAAAAAGAATGAATTATAGAAAGATGCATCCAAAGTAACAGTAGTCATACAGTTAAATGTGCAAAACTGTACCATATTTTAATGGATATATAGAGTAAAATGTGTATGAGGATGTAAACATCAAATTCAGGGTATTGGTGTTCTCATAGGAAGGGAGGGTTAAGGGTGGTAAGCCGGAGGGGTACAAAGGGAGCTTTCACCCTATCTGTAAATACCTGTTTCTTATGAAAATTCCAAAGCTGAGCAATGGGTTCCCAAATGTGTGCTATTTATGATTTGTTCTTTTTTGTTTGTTAGAAACTTTTATAATTGCTTTTCAAAAACAGCACTGAGCCAAG